GTCTTTGGTATTTGCATTTAGCATGTGATTAACCGACAATGTTTGTACATATCCCAAGCCTTGTAAAAACAATGCATAGAATGCGTTTCAGCTGGACCGAATTTCTTCCAACTTGAAACGTCAAATTCTCTATTTTGCACAGCTTTGAAGCGAATTTTTCGCGCCCGTTTCGAGTGTCTCAAGTGTTTTGTCCCGAGTAAACACTTATTATTCGTTGTTTTGAGTAATGAAGAGGTTTGATTGACAGTTCACTCGGGTAGATGTCCACAATTTGCATACGTACTGCCTCATTTGTGTGACTTTCCGTAATGCGAGATTCAACTCGTGATCAAAATACGCACTTATTCAAGAAGTAGTAGGGGGTTAGTAACGAATCTAACTTCTCAGATTTGCGAGGTGCTTTTCACATCTGGAAAAACAGCCATCGAGGTCACGAAAGGATCGATCTTCAATCGCTTCTAGAATGAATGAGAAAGACATCAATAATGGCGTCGTTATAGACGGCGAGAAAGCAAACGGAGACTACGGAAGACCAGAAGACAGCCGCGCTGCCCTTGTTGAGCCGATGATGATAGAAGAGAATGGTGTCGTTATTGAGGATGATCGGGAGAAGTGGGGAAAGAAACTGGACTTCATGCTTTCGTGCATCGGGTACGCAGTTGGTCTTGGCAATGTTTGGAGGTTTCCATACTTGTGTTATGAAAACGGCGGAGGTACGTAAAACGAGTGGCTAACTGCGTTGTTAGCTGCAATCCGAGCAATTGGACTTGTGGGTGACTCGGGTCGGTCCTTTCACTTATTAATAAATGCGCCGGTAGATTACATAATTCTTAAATGTGGCGGCGAAATCCATCAAAATGCGGTCACAATACGAGTATTTTCATCTGAAAGTTCTTTGTTCTTAAACCTTCTGGCTCAATGCGTAATATACTTTTGAGCTGCACTTACTTGTTACCCTTATGGTTTTGTACGTGACAGAATGCAAAATGCACTCGGGAAGTAGTTTGAGTAACAAGAGGAAAATCGTCAAGTAATTGACAATTTTTAGCGATCAGTCATTAAAAACACAACAGCATCCTGCCACGCTTCAGGGCCCCGACAGATTCAGTACGGCGTCGTTGAAAATGTGTAAATTTAAACAAACGGTTCCATTGTTGTGATTCTATCGTTCAAGCAAACGTTCACGACAGGTAAAAGCGCGATCACCTATCTTGGTTCCATCGCTTCGCTTAGCAACTGTTGTGGTCAGCAGAAAGATGTTTACAGGGTTATCAGCACAAATCAGAATAGAAGTGTGATCCAAGAAAAAAAGCGATTGAATGTGGCTGTAAATATAACGAACAGCGGCGAATCACGACACGCTTCGGCGATAAAAAATACGCCCAGGACAAAACATTGCAGGGCTTGTAAAACAGATTAAAAAGACAATAGCATCCCTCAATCTCCGAGACTGAATTCATGATAACTTTGCAACTCCAGCAGTTACAACGTAATGCCTCTTTTCTGTTTACTTCACGGGAATTAATTCTGGAAATTATTTCTCATTTTGCCGTATCCCTCAATGTTCCTGCCAGAAAGAGAAAATGTCACGCTATTAGATACATTTCTCAGGGTAAAGGTGTATACGGTACACGTTCTTATCACTCATCGGCGGCAAATAACAGATCCACCTCGTTACATGTAAGATTGAAATGTCCACTCAAGAGATAAGATTTTCGGATTTTCGGACAAAAGATTTTCGGATTAACACGACTTTAATAATACGGTCAAAACCGTGAGAGCGGATGTAGTAATTTAGATCCTTGCTCACTGCTGTATGAACTGAACTGAAATGCTGGCTATAGACCTGGTATAGAGCAGGTTCCAATTGATTTGGATGACTTGCAGACATCTTGTCGGTAGAGTGAGAGGCAAGCCTTGAGCGTGTAGTCGGTGCGGCACCAGCAAGCTCGGCTGGAGGACTAGGCTGGACAAAGACCGACTGTTTAGGCACCATTGTTTTTATCACTCGGCTCCTTTACACCCCTCCTGCCTCCTCCCCAATAGAACCAAGAGACCAATAATTGATTTTGCTTCGACAAATGATTTTGGTGGCATAGGGCAGCCAGTATCAGGCCTGACTGGCGGGCCTTGAGAAAAACATAGTTGAATTGATCGTTGCAGAGGAAACAGTTTTTCTTTTTTTCTGTTTTGTTTTCAGGAATTCTTCCGGCTGGTCCTTCTCAGTTGGGTAAAAAAGATCCCAATGAGTACGATTTTGATTAGTTGTTTTGAAAACGACCCTAATGAATACGATTTTAATTACATGTACATGTAGTTGTTTTGAACAAGCTCTATTTCAGAGACCGAAGCCTCGAAAGAATGGACGTAACGTCTGACAGTAACTCCAGGGAGTAACCATCTGAGGTCGCCGCTCGCTAATTGTCCGACAAATCAAACTGTTGTGACTGACGAAAGCGAAGTTATGAGAAGCATTTGAAACTTGACGCAAATGATTGAGAGCGATTTTGGCACGTATCGTGATAACGACACGGATATACGATAATGAATTACCTTACAACAACATAACAAACCAAAAATGCGATTGTGAAGAGTTGTAAGCATAAACTAAATTTCAGTAGCGTTTTATTGCTACGTTAAACAAATCAAGTAAATTAATACAAATTCGTATACTATGGACTATATCAAGATGATAAACTTTCCGGAAGGAATCGGATTTTGTGTAACTTCTGTTGCATTACTCAAGAAACTATATCGCAGAATAACAGTTTCTAATGTATGTCGTGCCTGTATTCGTTGTTTCCATTGTTTTTTTCCTTTTTTTGTTTTAATTAAAAATCTTTTCGGCGTCTCAGGTCTCTACCTTCGGAGGCTTTTTCGGCGGGGCTTGCAAACCATGAAATTTTATTTCCTCTTTCGGAATGTGACTCTTGGGTTTCAAATGTCAAACGTCAATGTGTAGCTGCGCGCACATTGGATATATGAATGAATTAAATTTAGCAAAACATTAAAAGATAAGAAATTAGCGAGAAAGTTTAACACAATGTTTCGATGTCGCCAGGACATCATTTTCAAGCGACAAAATAATAATTGAAACTGTCTTAGACCCCGTCCACAATACCCCGGAGAAATTTGAAAACGCACCTTTATTCCTACGGTTAGGCCTCCCTACCGTCCACACTAATCGGTCACGAAAACTTTTCGAAAACGCTATTCAAACCGAGGGAGTTTGAAAATGATGGCCTTCCGTTTCATCGGGGACGGAAAGCATTTTGAAAACGGAGCTTTTCGAAAATGATGACGCCACGATAATCATGTGATTTCTCTTCCCGAGTTTTCCTCAAATATAAATCCAAAATGACCGGTGATTGCTGCGTTTTCAGATTTCTGTGCCGTAGTGTGAACGGAAAAATGTCATACGCTTTCAGAGTGAAAACGCCGTTTTTCTCCGGACGGGGAGAACGGGGACGGGGCCTTACGACACAGTTTGAGGTGATAAAGCATAATACGTAACGTATTTAGCGTAACAAATGTCTAAACAAATAGTTTTTCGAAAGGACTGTGGAAATGTTGAATCAATCCGTCGTTAATAGCAATTTGCTAATTATATTTTGTTTGGTTACGAGTTTGAGGTTACTAATCAGATCGGTTTACTTTTACAGCAACGTTCTTGATACCCTATTTTGTGATGCTTGCAATCAACGGGATCCCTCTGTTCTACATGGAACTTGCCATTGGTCAATATCTTAGTCTTGGAACCGTGGGAGCCTGGACGGCCATCTGTCCCTTGGCAAGAGGTAAGCTGCGGCACTAATGTGTACCTACTTCTAAGACCTATTCTTCCAGCCCCAAACGCCGCAAACATTTTTGATCACCTTGCCAGTTTCCTTAAATGCATTGTACATTGCACTGTACTTTGATAAAGTTTAAAAAAATCTGCTCTTATTTGATTTAGGTCTTGCCCCAATCAGGCTGTGTTCTCTATACAATCCTAGAGACGTTAACAAACGAACGTTCAGTTATTGGTGAATTAGTTATGATCATCTTATGACAGAACTTTGCAAAAGTTGTAGCTGGCAACATGCTAATCATTTTTCAAAGATGCAAAGGTCGTTTTGAGAAGATATTCACCAGCGGCTGAAGTTCTCCACAAAGTAATTATGTACAGCTCCTTTGTTACATGTATGTAATGAGAGGGGTAACCATGTGACTCAAAGATTCCAAACTGACGGTGGGAGGATTCGTAGCCAGGTTTTCGTTGAAACAAAGACTTTTTTAAATTTGTTTTCAAACAACATTCTGTTTAGAATTTCCATTTCTGTCACGTTATGGCAATAGACAGATTCGGCTAACACCCAATTCACAATTCCAATTCGTTTGGGAGGTTATAATTGTTCTCTTTGTATACTGATACTCCCATGCAATCAGTTGTGTGTAACAAGTTGCAAAATTGCAATCTCCCGAATGAATCATCAAGTAATCAAAATTTGGTGGCAACATGGGTGTGTAAACACGTCAGCCGAATCAGTCTATTTGCTGCATGAGTGGAGGGTAATTCTTTATTCTTTGTGTCATCTCAGGAATTGGATTTGGTATGATCATAGTTTCTCTACTGGTGTCCATTTATTACAATATGATTATCGCCTGGTGTCTTCTGTACATGTTTGAGTCCTTCAGAAAAGATGTGCCATGGAAAACATGTGACAATGACTGGAACACTAAACTTTGCGCGTAAGTACTGTCCTATCATTCAATCATTCGAGGGCCCCGAGAACATAGGTTTGGCGAGATGCGGGATAAGAGTAAAAAATTAATGAAGGCAGGATGCGGGATGACAGGACTTTTAATGGCGGGATGCGAGCATCCCCGACTTTTTCGTATGGGAGCCCCCCCCCCCGGATATGATCACTGTCTGTCTGTTTGTCCGTTAGTCTGTTTGTCTGTCTCTCTGCCTACCTGCTTGCCTCCCTGTCCACCTGCCTCTCTGTTAGTCTGTCTGACTGTGTGTCTAAACACCACGTCTGTATATTTTTCATCGTGCTTTTACTTTCTTTTGTAGACAAATACGAGTCAATGCATCGTCACTTGATTGTGCCGCATTGGGCTATGCCGCCGATTGCAAGAGTACCAGCCCTTCGGAAGAGTTTTTTAAGTAAGTAATATTACTAATCTGCTCACTGTCTTTCTGTGTTTCTGTTTCGCGCTCCGTTCACTTTCTTGTTACAGTGTGGGTTATCTGTTTTGTTTTCTTCTTTCACTTTGCTGTCTTCGCATAGCCTCTGTACTCTAGAATATGCAAGACTTCATACGATTCTATTTCTTTAAAATTCCCAAGTGGTTTTTGGTTGTTATACATGTATGTGCTCCTTTTTTTCTAGTCATGTCATTCTCAGCAACTCTTTCTGCTTTTCCTTGCTTTTCCTTACTGTATTAATCAATAATCCAGCTTTATTGGTAGCTTTGATATATTTCTGGCGAGTTAATGACTTCGACAGTGACTGCTTTTTACAACTCAATGATTGTATTCTATCTGCCTCTCTTCCAGTCGTCACATACTTCAAATATCTGAAAGTATATCTGACATGGGCGATGTCAGCTGGCAAATTGTCCTTAGTTTGATTCTCGCTTGGATTATAGTGTACCTGTGCCTCATAAAAGGAGTGGCTTCTTCGGGAAAAGTAAGTGTAACACCTACAGCTCTAGCCTGCGAACAGGCTCGCGGTGAGGATGGAAAAAAAAAATTGGCGAGCGAACCTAGCCGTTGAGCGCGAAACTGAAGAATTCGAAGAGCTAAGCGATCAGGGCGGGGCGCTCGGAGGAGCCTCCCTCGCTTCGTTCACGCTCGCCAGGAGCCCGTTTGCAGGCTATTACAGCTCAGACACTTTTTCCAAGCATTTGTTTGTCTCTGTGTTTTCGCCAGTACATCCCGTTTCAGTCTCTTTCGGCTCTTACCATCGAGTCTGTTGTCTTAGCTGACTACTTTTAGATGTCTTATTCGCTTTTCTATGTAACAGAATAGGCCATTTCCGAATTGGCTTTTGCCTGTGTCAAAACAAGTCTTCATGCGAAACCATTCATTCACGTGAAAATGTTTCCGCCTAGAAGTTTATTTTCGCATGAAAGATTTTGCACGAGAACTCGTTCTGAAACAGAGGCACAAGGTAACTGGGAAATGGCCCGCTATTACCAAATTATCATAACCGCATGAATTCACAGATGCGCTACTTTGTTTTTCAGGTTGTGTACTTCACTGCTACCTTTCCGTACGTCGTTCTGTTTATTCTAATGATCCGTGGCGCCACTCTGGACGGTTCATTAGAAGGAGTGATATTTTACCTTAAACCAGATGTCCAAAAGCTAAAGGATCCCCAGGTACAATCAACGTTTATAGGACTCTTTTTCAAAGCTCTTTACATGAACGTTCCTCTGTCGCAGAGCAACTGAAACCTTGATCTCCGCCAGGGATTCAGTTACAACTTCCTAGGGCGTGAAATCCACCAAAAAACTCGATCAGACGACACGTCTCATCAGACGATACATCTCATCAAAGAAGATTAAATTTGACTAAGGAACTCACGGAAAAACAACCGAATTTAGTGCACAAAGCTATCAAGATTTTTGAGAGTTTTTCTTTAAGAGGTTTGGCTTCTACGCGTGTTGCCGTTTTGACGTTATAAGATATACTTGGTTGTAAAATGTTTAATAATGACCGTCTTTTTCGGTGTCGGGTGCATAAATGTTTCCCTATTCAATATTGGAAACTGGTTAAATTCATTCATGTCTCAGTCTTAAATTTTGTTGGCCTGGCTTTTAATTTTCTATTCAATTCTAACGTGCGTTTGATTTTAGGTCTGGGTTCGCGCTGCGTCGCAGATCTTTTACTCCCTTGGAGTTGGTTTTGGATCATTGATCACCTTCGGAAGTTATAACAAGTTCAACAACAATTGCCAAAGGTAGGACAGGACGGGTTAGGCACCTGTTCTCGATAGAGCATCGTCATTTCCAAGACCTTCATCTTGCTGTACAATGATAGAGTATTGACTGTAAGGTAGGCCCAGAAACGCAAACACCGTTCATGGCTTAATTGTTTGATTACCAGGCATCTTGTAGCCTTATTACACGTGCAACCCCACTATACTTTAGAGAAGACAGATCTGCAATTTACTTTCTTTCATCAACAGAGACGCCATCATAGTGAGCTGCATAAACTGTGGTACAAGTTTCTTCGCGGGATTTGTTGTATTCAGTGTTTTAGGATTTATGGCCAAGACACTTAACGTTAACGTCGGAGAGGTGGTTACATCAGGTGAGCTCCCTAATTTGACAACTGCAGTGTTAGTAATTTTCAAGGCAGAATACTCCCATAGATATTAAACCAAAAAAAGAAGAATAATCTCTACTATTTTTACTTTTACAAAGTATTTTATCGTCTTCCCTTAATTTAATAACTGGCTGAACCATTCTTTTCTAATTTGTATTAGGTCCTGGCCTTGCCTTCGTGGGTTACCCAGAAGCCATTGCGCAAATGCCTATCAGCACCTTGTGGGCTATCTTGTTCTTTTTTATGCTCCTGACTCTTGGTTTGGACAGCCAGGTAAAAGCGATCACTATAAATGTATATTATGATCATAATGAAGATGAAGATTTGTTGACAAAGATTGATTGATTGATTGATTGATTGATTGATTGATTGAGTAAGTGAGTGAGTGACTGACTGACTGACTGACTGCTTGCTTGCTTGCTTGCTCGACTGATTGGTTAATTGTTTGATTGATTGATTGATTGATTGATTGATCGACTGTCTGACCGACTGACTGACTAACTGACTGTCTAATTGATTGATTGATTGATTGATTAATCAATTAATAGTTATTTTAATTAATTATGCACATAATTTTTTTGTCTATTTATAGTTCGCTATGGTGGAGTGTGTCGTTACAGGTCTTTCAGATGAATACCCCAAATACCTACGAAAATACAAGCCGTTTTTTCTTATCCTTATCTGCATTTTATTGTTTCTCCTCGCTATCCCCATGTGTTCTCAGGTAGGAATAGATCACCATTTACGCTAACCAATCGTAGCTTAAAGGTTTAAGTATAGGCTGCTTACACCTGGGATTTCTATTAGGACCCAGAGAGTGTTTATTCCAGCGAATGCGAATTAACGCAGAAAGGGCAGCCGTGTGGACGAGATCTCGTCACACAATTTCCCTGTCTTTCCCTGTAAAACTCCAACACCATCTCTCTCTTTCTGATTTTCGAGAGAAATAAACAAAACAGACTGGAAGGAAACCATCTCGTAAAATTGCTGCACATTAAGCTGGTGACTAGTGAATGTCTATTGTATAAATACACATGATGTCGTTCTCAACATTGCGGACTTCTACTGCTTGGCGTTCTATGTTTTATGTTTGTTTCTTTGTACTAGGGTGGCATGTACGTCTTCAACCTATTCGACATTCAGTCAGGAGGTATCTCGCTTCTTTTCATTGGATTTTGTGAAGCAGCGGTCATTGGCTGGGGAGTTGGTGAGTTCATGTATCTGATTACGCCGGATAACTGATCAGTACAACACAGTTCCTTTCGAGTTTCGACATTTTTTTATTTTTAGGTTGGTATATAAAGACAACGTCCCTTGTGGTGATTGCTTTTATGTTGTTATTTTTTCATTTTCGTCAGCTGTCTGTTTGTCAGTGTATTCAAACAGCTAACTTGAGGATAAAACACGTAACACAACAGCATCGTAACGCAACGTTCACTTAAATGAATGAATCGCTTTTGCATTCATGTTGTGTTTATTTGTATCTGCATTTACAGCCACTCGCACCTGGTAAATATTCGTACACTGTAATCTTTTTGTACATTTGTCGTTTCAGGCACACAGACACTTGGTGACATGATCGAAAAGATGATCGGCAAGCGCCCAAATATCTTTTTCCTTATTTGTTGGAAATACATTTCCCCAATCGCTACTCTGGTAAGGAAGATTTGTTGGCAGGATCAATTGGTTGACTGACTGACTGACTGANCTGACTGACTGACTGTCTCACTGACTGACTGACGGACTGACGGACTGACTGACTTTCTGATGACCTAAACCTGACATGTCACTAAAGTTCTTTTATTTCTCACATAATTCTCGTGGTCGTAGGAGCGGAAACATTTCCAATCATCTGTTCCTCCTTTTAGATCATCATCCTGGCGAGCTTGGTGCAGTGGTCCGGTATATCCTACAACGACGTGCCATATCCTGGTTGGGCCGAATTCTTTGGATGGGTGCTTGCAATTGCATCTATGATAATGGTTCCGACATTTGCATTAATCCAGTTCTACCACTCCAAAGGAACCACTTTGATTGAAGTAAGTATTTGCTACAGTACGCTTTTTGTCAGTAAACGATACGAACGCTTGGTTTGTTTCTAATACATACAACTCATAGTTGTAAATATCTTTAAGGAGGAAGGATAGAATACGATATAAATGTATTCATTTCTGGTCTTGAGTTGCTCCAGGTAAAGATAATGTAAAATCTATGAGTGGTGAAATTCAAGCTCGTTAACAAAACGTATATGGACCAGAATTGTTTCAATCTTCCACAACCAGGTTGTACATGTAGTTACATGCTTGTCCTTCTATAGGTAGTCTCCGGGAATGTAAAACCGGGGAGGAGGACCCAATAAGTCGCTTTGGCATGTTCAATTCAAACACTTTTGGTACTTTTGGTAGAAATTCATCGTGTTCCATTGAAAATTCGAGAACCCGATTGTTTCCCCCCATTGTTGTCTATTTGCTGACAAAATTCCTTTGGATTTTTGGCTTGTGAGAGCTTTGAAAATACATAAGTATACAACTGCAGGTTTTAGACTGCAATCTACCAATGAATAGTAATAATATTTAATAACATTGAGAGCAAAAGCACTCTACAAAATATCTGTACAACTGAAGTAAAAACTGTTCTTCTAAAATGTTGTTTAGAAAAACTACCTGTTCCTCATAAATTAAAGTACCATATAAATTAAAATACAACTTACTCCAGACTAAAAGCACAATATACCTTTCCTGCATTCCAGTTCAGTGCGTACGAACGAGCTCGGGGTAGAGATTTTCATACATTTACTGTATCTTGGGGCAAAAAATAGGGCAGATTCTCTAATTGTTTCTTATTGTTCCTTTGCAGAGGCTGAGGTCTCTACTGACTCCTGATGCAAATGCTTTCAACGCGGTCGAGGAGAGGGAAGGAATTTCTCGCAAGAAGTTGGTCATAAAATAAACCAACTATCAGGTATAATTTTTGTCGCTTTATATCAGGTTTGCGCTTGATGCCTCCTACCCAATGTTATTATTATTATTATTATTATTATTATTATTATTATTAGTATTATTAGTATTAGTAGTAGTAGTAGTATTACTATTATTATTATTTTTTTATTATTATTATTATTATTTTCTATTTTTTTCATTTTCTCATTTTACTTTAAGTTCCGATATCAACGACTCTTCTTGCTAGTCGCATGTAACGTCTGCCCTATCGCAAGCGTTGGGAGGTTTTTTAACACATTCCGCAGTCGATGATCTCTTCTTTTTAACAGCAAGATTGAGTGTTACATATGTTGGCCTATCCATCCTCGTAGTATAAATTATATTTTGAATGAAAATTTGCCGATGGAATAAAGGTTTTAAAGGGCTTTACTTGTTGGAAAGGACTTTTGTTTCATCCGAGCAGAGTAATAAATTTCTCTTAGAATCATGGTCATCTTAAACAAATTCGGTAATAACATCTGTCATTTCCATTTCCACCACCTTCGTTCTATATTTGTTCTGTTTTGAGTGTGCTTTTATTTTTTTCGTTGTTTGTTGATTTAATGGCTTGCCGTACTAACACTGTTTTCCATTTATTTTTCAGTGTGCATTTCTTGGATTTTATGCCCTTCAGTGTAATATAAAGCGAGAGGGCTGGCTCTCAGTAAATGGCCAATTTTAGCTCCGGAGCTGAGCTGAGCTGCGGAACACGGAACTGTAAACTAAACTAGCTTAAACTGTTAAACTGCTGTTACTTTGGCGTTATTGTTTTCTGTTTGTCTCCAGTGAGACAGTTTTCTCATGATATTCTGTCAACACTATGTTTTAAGCGTTTAATATTTTTATGACGATTCTGACCTGAAACGATAAGTTTCCTGTGACCTGATCTGTTCTCCAGATATCAGATTATTTCAAATGTAAGGAGTTTTGAAACATAATTACGAAAAAATGACGATTTCAAGAATAATCGATCAGCTTTGAATGAGGTTAAGAGTATAAGTGAGAATAATTATAAGTTTCCATTATTTGATGATAAAGTTCGTGTTTAGCCAACCAAGGCTGAACCAAACTGAAGAGTTGATAAAGAACTGAGATGAAAATTGATAGCTTCGTCATCATAATTATCACAGACATCATGATTATAGACATCATATTTCACATTATTATTATAAACGTTCATGTAGTACAATAGTTATTTTTTGTTCATCAAAGCTATAACAAATTTTTCAAATGCGAAATGGTTTTTAGCAGGTTCGATTCATTAGCACTGCAAAGGCAATCTACGCATTATTTCTTAGTAATAGAATAGAGTCATTTACCCACCATGCAGTGGGGCAGGTGCCCTTAATCGCGTTCTTTAAGTTCTCTTCCTCAAGCATCTCAACGAAAAACCCATCTGTAATGCTTTTGAACTTACTTTTATCCCATATTAGTGGCCCCTCAGCTGTACTGGAAATCCGCGGGTCTGATTTGTTCTCTCCTCGTTTTCTAGTTAACAATTGATTGATAACTAAATGAGGTCCTCAAATCTTGTTATAATTATGATTAACAGGTAGGAACTTCGCATCGAGTAGTCAGATATACCTGGAGCCGAGTCCATTTCACGAAGTAATATATTAGGTTTTCAAAACGCAAGATTTTGTGATTTTTCTACCAAGTGTTTACACGTTTACGTCTTGGAGCTGCACTTGGACACGAAGTCATTTTTATCGTTTTTCTAGTGTGAAATTTTGATTGTAAGACATTTTTTCGGGTTTTTTTATTATTATTGTACAGAAAGCTTAATTAAGTCCCTGTAAAAGGTCACACCTGAGAGGGGTTCAAATGTCCATTTTTAAAGCGAAACGGGTATGAAATTTGTTGTTTAATGGGGTTTTAATTAATCGCAAGATAAAGCTACATGGTCTTCTAGCCCACAGTTTAGGATCTAGCTTTTCCTTTAGAGGTTTAGTTTTTCTCAGTTTTTATCGATGTATCTGAAATGCCTTTTCTTTGCCTTTTCCAAAAACACCTGTTGTTACCGAACGCAAGTTTTATCCATTTTGGACTTTTCTCGATTTTGAAAAGCTAGGGAGTAATACGAACTGTTACTTTCACGAAACATGCAAAGGAACGTTAATTTAACACTCTTAAACCCGACGGACACATTATGACAGTCGATAATGATTGCGGAAATGAATAATTGCAAAACTTTCATTTATGCTTCATTTATAGTGGTTTCGAGCGATGTTAAAATGTATTTCTCAATACTAAATGTCAAGGAGTCTTGTAGCTCACAGCAATGGCTGAATTATGCCGAAAACTGTTTAAACGTAGAGTCGAGATATTTTGCTTTTTTCAGTAGATTGACTGATGTCTTGTGGTACGGTATGCCCTGAAATGTACAGTACTTACCAAACATTAGGCGACGTAGGAGCCGTCCAAAACTTACGCTGAATTTTGTTCAAACCACTTTAAGTATGTGTTAGTGAAGCGAAACGATAAAGAGCAATGTTAGGTGGGCACTGTGTTTATACTAAATGAAATAAAAAATGCCGAAAAAATAACGTCGTCTTCTGGTCTGTACATCGGATAAGAAAGGTCTCATAAGTACAATCAAGAGCAGTTTTTTAAAGAAACATAAAAACCACAGAATAACCGTTCTTTTGAAATTTTCTATTTAGTCACATAAAACTGTGAATCAAAAGGCCAGGATGGACCAGCCATAGCGCACAAAATCTTTGGCAGATGTTGTATCATTTTGGAAATTTTTAAGGTGAGAGTATTCAACTCTTCTCATCTCCCCAGTCCAGGTCTGGACCACGGGCCTGGGCCTGGGCCTGGGACTGGGCCTGGGCTCCCTGCATCCATCCAGAATTTATGGTCAAAGTGATACACATTTCAAGGAATAGCTCAATTTTTAATGACAGAAATTTCGAGATTACTGTTTTTAAATAACCCGTTTTAAAACATTTATTTCTTTGTTCGGGACAGAAATTTCTCTGTTCTTCTCAACGGTTCGAGATATCATGACCTACGAAACTTACTTTGCTTTACTTTTTTCCCGAAAGGATTTTTTTTACTGGAACACACACATTACATTCTTTATAATCAGGTTAGCAAAAAGACGCCAAAATCGTCAAATCCGCCAACATGTTAATACCGTGTCTTATGAGACAATTTGCGCAATTGTGGCCGACGAGAAGTCGTCAAAATCGTCAATTTCGCCTAGCTGATTTCGCTTTGACAAATTTGACGAAAACTTGCCATACATAAAGATTCACATTTACCCTTGTAAATAGATCCTTAATTCTAGTTTTTAAAGCTGTAAATAGTTCTTAATCTTAACTTTTAGGTGTCCTAAATTGGTAGAGGGTCTCACCCTCGTTCATAACGTTAATTGACTGACTGACTGACTGACTGATTGATTGATTGATTGACTGATTGATTGATTGATTGACTGACTGATTGATTGATTGATTGATTGATTGATTGATTGATTGATTGGTTTCGTCAAATCTACCAGTTTTGTTACTAAGTGCATTTTTGGGCAAAAGGGCTGGTTTTCACTAGAGCATAAGCATACGCATAAGCATAAGCCCATATACGCAGACGCATTGCTTGCTAAAACATTTTATGATAATTACCACAAAAGGCGCTAATTATCAACATCTTACTGGCTGCGTATGTCGGCTTATGCTTATGCTTATGCGCTAGTGAAAAGAGTGAAACCTTAGCGACTCGTTGATTCCTCTATTAAATCTAGTTTTATCCGAGACAAGGGATTACACTAGTTAACTTGGGTAGTTTTCGGTAAAGATCGATCGCAGAGAATTTAAAAGTTGAGGTTAGACTCTATGTGTTCTACGTTCTCAAAACGGACAGTCACGTAACAACCAAAATGTTTTAGATCAATTTGTTACCAAATTTTGGGGTTTCGCTGGCGCGCCTTCGGAGGGCAGGAGCTCCCCTAAAATATAGAGATACCTAGAACTTCTTTTACACGAGTTACTTGGATAACTATCAACTTCAAAGGTAAGTTAATCACTGAAGCGAATTTAGTTAGCTGACATTTTCAATGAAAGCCCCCTATGTAAATTTTTATGATTCACAATGATATTAATACACTGACAAAGCTCGCTGCCAAAAGTAGTAAAATGATGATAACTCGACAAATTCACGGAAGCCAATCTACCGAGCAAACCCTTGCAGTATTATTTACCGTTCTGTTATTTCAGCTTGTCTCATTGGCGCTATTCACTTGAAAGAAAAATATTGCTGGACAATATGTCTAAGGCTTTACAATAATGATTATTTTGGGACCTTTCGCGATCGACTGCTCTCTTTGAAGACCTGTGAAGCGTGAAGTCTGTGGAACAGTGTTACGCACGCAATCTGAAAATCATGTTCAAGATCTCTAATGCTAAATTAGGATTTAAGTTTAAAGGCCTTGATCGTTATTCTCGTCCGAAGCCGGCGCCGAAGCATTTATTAATTACCAAAGTGCATTAAAGTAAGCCTGTCACAGTCATGCGCTCCCAATCCATTCTCTTATAGGCACACTCAAGCGTAGCCTGAATTGTAGCAGGAATTGTTAGTAATCCTATCAGCTCACTTTGAGTAACTCTCAGCACTGGCTTGCATCACGCAAAGACCAAAGATCTGTCTTTCCCTATTTTGGACACCTTTGCGTAAAATTAAGGTAAGAGGAAGACAACTAAGTGATGGGAGGGAGCATGGAATTGTGCTGGCGATTGGAAAATATTCATGGACGAGTACTGTTCGCAAGAGAACGCAGTTTTGTTTTCATATGATCAAACACATTCGAAGATGATCGCGAACAAATCGAAACACAGAGCAGGGAACTACTGATTTTGTGCGATCCTGCGATAGTTGTCGAAAACGTTCTCTAGCGATCGCGGATGCGTATTTCCATGCCTATGATCCCAGAATTTTGAAACTACAATCATTTCTGCGATCGTTTTTTTATTTACTGCAGGGATTGCTTGTGAATTCATGAGGTTAGCTTAGTCTTAATATCATTGCTTTTCAATGTTTTTCCATAAAGTCAGCCTTGTCTTAACATTCCAATTATTGGAGGGAAGTCGGCTTTGCATGTAAGGCCTTGCTATCGATGACTGAGCTGAAGCGTGCGATTGCCGGCCAGGCAAATTAATAATCACGATTTCAACAACATCTATGCCTAAATTTTGCTCGATCTCACCCAAGAAAATCGGACAATCTAACTGGTCGAAAAGCTCGGATTATGACGCGGTATTCACCGCGCTAGGTGAAAATAACTTTTTAAGTTTCGTTACTAAGCAGTATTAAGCTAAGCCAGTTTTGTCATCTTGGCAAGTGAACATGGCAGACAGTTGCGGAATGAAATTTCCACTCACTCCAAAGACATTACTCCAAGTCCGGGCTATTAAAGGCGTGGAGAATTTAACAAATGATTGCAGTAGTGTTTGGACCTTCTTTCTTTCAAGAACTGGTATTCAAGATATTTAAGAAATGTCAAAGGAGAGGTATCGGAGATCGCCAGCCATGAGAAACTGTGTCAGATCTAGTAAAGTAAACTTACTTTCTTCAACGATGAAACCGAGGTACCGCATGAACAGGCCATGTTCGATATATCAATATTCTAACATAGCTCTGAAGCTTTCAGGACAAAATTGCAAATTTTTTTAAGTTTCTTTTGTCCTTCAATTCCCAAAAGAGACTTGAATACAAAGACGACACCACAACACCTTGTGTAGATGTTTGTCCTGAAAGCTTCGTATACATGTTAGAATAATGATATGTCGAATGTGGCCTGTTTCTTTTCTGTAGAGTTTCTTTTGCATATTTTACTGCCTTTTGTATATTTTACTTGCTCCATGCTCAGTGTAAATTGGTAAATACTTACCAAGGCTTCGTCTCGATAAATATTCTTCAATGTTAATTTCGCCTTCGGCGAAAATTTGTAAATTTATTTTTTGCAAAAAATCGTTTAATGATATACATGTAGTTCCATAATTTATTCCATTGTATTCTTTTTATCATAATATCTTTTAAAATCATTGGCGTCTCTCATCATTTCACCCGTTGAAAATTGCAGTTTGGGCAGTCTGTAATTTTTGAAATATTTTTGCGTTTTGCATTTTACTATAACTGTAGAATAACAAACTCGGCATTGCGATCATCTATTTCTTCTTTTCCAACGCATCCTCTGTTAACGATCAGTTCACCTCACCTATCATCTTCGCGCTCTGTTGCGCATAAGGCCACACTACTCCTCTTCCACTTGCCCTGTCCTTAGCCAGAGCTCTCGCTTCCTCCCAGGACTTCCAGCCCACCATTGCCCTATCTTTTTCCACAGTACGGCACCAGGTTGTTTTGGGGCGGCCGACTTGCCTTTTGCCCATAGGTATCCTGAAAACGATTATCGTCGAAATAATTGAAGAGTGCGCAGATTACTCCGGTACGATTATTCGTCTGGTTACGACTCTGGAACAACAGCCCGTTTCGTGTTCATCTTTTCTCATTTACATTACAATATACTCCAACATGTAAGTGAGACAATTTCGGGCAATTCTGTACGTAGTATCTGCCCGTAATTGTCTCGCATCCACGTTGGATTACATTGTAATGCAAATGACAAAGTTAACCGCGAAGAGGGCAACTGAAGAGCTGCTTTATTCATACGTGCTTGCGTTATTTCTTGAATAACATAAACATCAGCGAGTCTCTAGGATACCCAATCCGGCAACGGGTGGTTTTACGTAGCAGAGTTATTACATGTACAACATTTTGAAGGATGCCCGTAGCCATTTAGAAAAGCGAAATACCCCGGGGCGAGTCTCATCCCGCAGTCGCCTTTAGAAACATTTAAAAGGCGTTAACCTTTCTTACAACTTACGATAAGTATTATAATTTAGTGTAGGTGTTAGCACAATTCACAATAGCACACGATGAAAGAGCAATTCTCTCCTTGAAAAAACCTTGGTACCTGCTTGTAATGCGGAATGAAAACTTATCCCGACGACACATTTCGAGGAAAAACAAAGGACATTTTTCAGTTTAGCAGTTCGTGGGAAAACATGGCGGGAGAGCTCGAATTTTCATGGCACGGGGCGGAAGGGATCGAAACCCTCGAGATGTCTCCTCTCTTTGAAGCATGGAAACCAGTTAGCGGCACAAGGGTTACTGGGAGAAACAAAATGGCGGTGAATAATTGTTAAGTAAGAATTCATTTCTCATCTTGTCATCTACCAGCTTGTGTTAGTCGAAGTCAAGGTCTAATGCAAACTCAAACTGGAGCCCAATCTCGACGATTCAGGATGCCCTATTCTTTCTATCAATCACTACCGCAATCAATTCAAGAGAGCGTGCGGTAGATGATAAACAACAATCGTGTATCTGCGTGTATCATCTTTTCTGTCTCATGCCAAGGGCAAATTACTCATGATTATGGACGAGCTACTTGAAAAATCATAGCCATTGTACGAATTAGTTGGCGGACATAAACGTTGTATTCAGCGAATAGATATTCAAAAAGACTTTCCTTTCAGAAAAAGGCGCCCTAGTGTGAATCCCTGTCATTTTTACTGCAATATTAATTTCGTTTTTTTTTTTTTTTTAATCAACATATTTTAGACACAAAGAACCCACCTCTTTTTACCTGTCTGACGTAGACAAAAGCTTGTTTGACCTAAGGGATTTTAACAGCAACCCGGACCTTACGTTACAGCTTAAGCAGGCCTACTCTGGTACCTTAAGTCGCCGTAACTTCATTAAGGCGACTTTGGGCGATTTAGGGCGTGTTTAGGCGTCTTAAGCGAAAGTGGCAGAAAAAAACATTGCGACTTTAGGCGATTTAAGGCGGCTTAAGGCGACTTAAGGCGAATTTATTCCACTTCAGTGATAAAAACCTAAACTTTGCAAGTCTCTCCACATACTTGAAAACTATCTACAAAATCTCTTCCAATAAACCAACATTGTACTAATAATTTTGTTCACTTTTGTATTCACATAAGTCACTATAGTATCAAGTATCTAGCTTTCAAACCATTTTAGACTTACAAAAATACTTAGAATTACCACAACAGTTATTTTTAAAAGAATAATAAAAACAATAAATACCAGCAACAGGACTGGTGGTACCAAAACACAAATGAAACAATAACGTTATCCGTAAGCCATATACTCTACGGCTGACATGATAGGACAAAGCATTGGCAAGTCCTCAATTATTGTTTACTGATAGCCAAATATTGCATTTTCTGCACAAGCCTTCGTGGAGATGTTTTAGGTTTTCAAAACTTTCTATCGTTCATTCCCGGAAAACTTGAAATTCTTAAAGAGATCGCGACTGCAAAAAAAGCACTTCCAAAATTTTATCGCACGTGGGCTTTTTACTTTAATTTTATATGCTGCTGATGCTTATGGTTGATTTATATTTAATTTTCATATCTATTATTTAACTGTAAGCTTGTACATATAGGGAAAAAAAAAACTACATGTATCTATCATGTGTCATTGTAAAATAATAACAATTAAAAAAAGGATGCGAATAGTGGTAAATATTTACCGAGCTGCGAAGCGGCCAGGGAAATATTCACAACCTTCACCGACAGTAAGGTGAATAATTGTTTTAGTATATACCACACAAGTTCAGTAATCAGCCGATTGAAAATTTGCTTTATTTCTTACAATAGCAAGTACTATTCACCCCTGAGCAAACAAAGAAAAACGAAATGGCTTCCCGTTTCGCTTCGGTTACCGAGGAGCAAACTTTATCGATAGACGAGGCGAGTGTTCGAAAAATACAAAAATGGCAACAAAGGTTGGTTTGACCGTATTTAATGGTAAGTTGTTTAATCTTCCAAACTCAAATAAGGCATAAAAAGGTACAATGCCTCGTTTAACTGTCGAGCACTACAAAAAAGTATAAGAAATGAAACATTTACTGTTTTGCAGCATGGCGGCAACAGCGAGACGAATTTGAAACACCAATTGAAGAAATGTCACCCGGACAATTGAACAAGTGCCTTTAGAAGTTTTACTTATCCGCAAAAAAAAGCGTGACGGGAACTTTTACAATAAGAAATCGCTTACCGCTATTCAGGCGGCGAGATTTTCATAGTTATAAGATGTGCATTTGCTGTTCTATGCACCTCCGAGCTAGCCAATCGGAATGCGCAAAAAGCACTATTCACTTGTGTGGTATATACTAACCTGATTAAGTCATTGCATGATTCTTGATTTCGATCAAATGCCTTCGGTAGCCAAAGAGGCATCTAAAGCCCAACAGTCGTCACTCTCGAGTGCTTTCATCTTGATGTTATTTCCACGAGCCTTTTGGCACAGAGACAGAACACGGTGAGCAGGGAAGGGTGCATGACATACTTGAGTTTGATCACGTGAAAGTGTCACGATTTGCACAATCTCCTAGGCAAATTTCCAGGCCGATGAAAATTGTTTTCCCGCGCTGTTTGCGATCTCTGCTTGGAGCCCAGGACAAGCCTTTAGTATTTTGTTGGAATGTGTATTAGCTTGTCTTGCAGCTTTCACTTTATTAATTGTTTTCTTAGTAACATATAATTATATGCTATCATGTATTTGATAACTTTCCAAACAGGCAGTAAAACAAACAGCTGTAATCTACAGTTGACAAGGGAAAAACGGAAAGGATACTCTGTAACGAAAATGTCTACCGAAAGAAACGGTACCGCTCCCTCTGGAAAACTGCTATCTGAGGAGTCGGAGGAGAAAACAGAGTCTGTTACAGTCGAAGAGCGGGAAAAATGGGGTCGCAAAGCAGACTTTATTCTCTCTTCGCTGGGTTACTGCATCGGATTTGGAAACATCTGGAGGTTTCCCTACCTGGCTTACAAAAATGGTGGAGGTAAGAGTTGTCTTGAACTAGATTACATACCAGCAATGCGCAGAAGTACCTTGTATGTTTCAAGCTCGCCAAATCCGGTATCAAACATGTGCAACCAAAGATACACTTGGAATAGAGGTCGCGGCAAAAGAATACCAGAGAAATTGTATCCGGTAGGAAGAGAGGTGTTTCAGAAAAAAAAAAATCCTATCTAACGAGATCTTTCTGTCACAAGATTTTTAAACTTCTGAGTACGATGAATCCCGAACTTCATTTCATTGCCAACGGCTGTGCAAAACGTTTACACACTGTACGGCAGTGCAAGAGTTTACACACTGTAAATCTATTTGCAGTTAAATACAAGAATTGCACTACACTAAAATGTACTCCAGTTAGCCTGAATAATACCACTTATACTTTGGTTAGCCTAAACAGCGCTCCGGTTGGCGTAAAAACCACTTTGGTGTTAGCCCGAACAGCACTCCAGTTAGCCGGACATGTGTAGTGGTTCAATTAGCCTAAGTTAGCGCTGACTTAAGAATGGGTAGCTCTTTAAAGGGGCCTTGTCAGCACACTTTTGTTTTTGTTTACGTGCGAGAGTTTGACAATCATATTTTATTCGGAGCATGTCGAAATATAATAATAATAATAATAATAATAATAATAATAATAATAATAATAATAATAATAATAGATTTGTATAGTGCCATATCCAGGGCTCATGGCGCTTTACAGTAAAAAATGTTATTAAAAATAAAATTTACATTAAAAATTTACATCAGTGATAAAAAATTACTAACAAAT